GTAGTTTTTTGTTCAATTTTTTGTGATCACCTGGAATTTTTTGTTTAATTTTTTGTCCTACCAGAGATTTTATTTTGCAATAAAATTCTAGACTTGAACTTCAAATATCAGGAAAATTACAATATTCAAACGAGCGACTTTTTGCCCAATTTTTTGTTAAAACGAGTAGTTTTTTGTTCAATTTTTTGGTAGCCACTGATGTTTTTTGTTCAATTTTTTGTGATCATCTGCAATTTTTGCCTAATTTTTTGTCCTACCAGAGATTTAATTTTGCAATAAATTTCTAGACTTTGAATTTCAAATATCAGAAAAACTGCAATGTTCAAACGATCGATTTTTGCTCAATTTTTTTGGTATAATTAAATTCTTTTTGTTCACTTTTTTGTGATCATATGCAATTTTTTGCTTAATTGTTTGTCCTACCAGCGATTTTATTGTGCAATAAATTTCTAGACTTAGAATTTCAAATATCAGAAAAACTGCAATATTCAAACGAGCGGTTTTTTGCTCAATTTTTTGTTAATGAGTCGTTTTTTGTTCAATTTTTTGTGATCACCTGGAATTTTTTGCTTAATTTTTTGTCCTGCCGGAGATTTTATTTTTCAATAAATTTCTTGACTTTGAATTTCATTTATCAGAAAAATTACAATATTAAGACGAGCGATTTTTTGCTCAATATTTTGTTAGAACGAATAGTTTTTTGTTCACTTTTTCGTAGCCACTGATGTTTTTTGTTCAATTTTTTGTTGAATTTTTTGTGATCACCTGCAATTTTTTGCTTAATTTCTTGTCCTACCAGAGATTTTATTTTTCAATAAATTTATCAAATATCAGAAAAATTGCACTATTCAGACGACCAAATTTTTTGTTAGGACGAGTGGTTTTTTGTTCAATTTTTTTGCTAACGAATGATTTTATTTTTCAATAAAGACTGGACCTAGTTTCGGGGTGTGATTAAAGAAAGATAACTGGTTTGTACACATTTATTTAAATTACAGCTTGAGGGGCACACTTTATAAAACTGTTTTTACAATTTAGTTACTTTTTACATTTGCGTGTTTAAACTTAAATTATTTACAAAAAAAATACATTGGTACCGATAAGAGTAACAATAAAATTCAACAATTTTAGTCTAGAGTTTCTTATCCATACTTCTTAAGAAATGTTGTATGAAACTCTTTAAATTTATCTAACATAACCTTGAGTTTGTCAGTTTGTGGCAAGATTGTAGTACGGAAATGATAAGTGCCTGGTTGTTGTCCAAATCCTGATCCAGGCACAATACAAATTCCTGTATTTTCGAGTAACTCAAAAGCATAGAACACATCAGGTGCTTTGTTCTGTTTTTTCGCTTCTTCGACGGCTTTAGACGGGAGAGTGAACTGAGGGAACGCATACATAGCACCCTGGACTGGATTACATTTGAATCCTTCGAACGAATTGAAGGTCTCAGCTACCATCTTCGCTCTCAGCTAAAAACAGCAACAATTCACTTTATAAAAAAGGGGATACAGGGTGCGCCAGAACTCGCGCCCCTTTTGTGAGGTAAGATACAAGGAACGTGGAAATTATATCACAAAAATTTCGAAGTTATGAGAGTTTCAATTTTTGCACTTTCTGTTTCTAAGTTTTTTTGCTACAATTTGTGGCTTTTATTAGCAAAATTGTTGTATCATAAAAAAAGACATAAAAACTTTGTAGTTATTTCAAAAATCTGATTAAAAACTGTAAAAATGCAATTTTGGCCTGATTTGGTAAATTTTCGGTTTGTTTTTAGCGAAATTTTACATTTCTGACTAAAAAACGTACTAAAAAATTAGAAAAAGGACAAAATAATGATCTTTCCGACCTAATTTAGCCACTTTTTGTCGCTTTGAGT